CGTACCCACTGTATATACACACACACACACACACATACACACACACATACTACATATATAAATTTGCAAATTATATTGCAAATCAACTTGTAATTTTTGATTAAATGATTTGACATTTATAAGAAACAGATTACCTTTTATGTCTCCTGAAGACTTCTTTTTAGCAGCATCATATGACCCCTTTAAGGAGACATGCAAAACATGCAGTGTTGGTGTGCCTCCAGGACCAGGGTTGGGAACCACTGAGATATCCGAAATCATCATTGTTGCAGCTATATTCAAAACGGTTGTCGCTTTTGTGGAAAACATTTGCATATACAGTGGCTGCACTGCAGCATTTTACAATTAGTTTTTATCAATGTGGTAAATGTCAGGATGTCCCTACTTCTCAGAGAACTCAAGGGTGGGAATGAATTCTCAAAGCCATTCTCATTTCCTCCGTCTTTGATTTTCAGGTTGGCTGCAAAGCTGTGATTGTCTTTTTCCAGTATTGCATTATGGCAAGCTTCTTCTGGCTGCTAGTCGAAGGTCTGTACCTTCATGCTCTGTTGGCCGTCTCCTTCTTCTCAGAGAGGAAGTACTTCTGGTGGTACATTCTGATTGGTTGGGGTAGGTGTCATATGTGCATCTGTTTCTTTATTAACCTGCTTTTGTTAACATTTTACATAATGATTATGTCAGTGAGCCATGTAAAACAGCAGCCGCTGATGTACTGACTGAAATACACTCTCATTTCACCTCACTACAGGAGGTCCAACGATTTTCATCATGGCTTGGAGCTTTGCCAAAGCTTACTTCAATGATGTCGGGTAAGATTAATGCATCAGTCAAAGCCTTCAATGATTTTTTGTAAAAATCAAGACATAAATACATTCATTGCAAGCAAAAATGTATACATGACATTTATTTGCCTTTTTTTTTTCCAGATGCTGGGATATAATTGAAAATTCCGACCCATTCTGGTGGATTATCAAAACCCCGATATTAGCTTCAATTCTGGTGAGATGTCCTTTCACTCCTAGAGTATCTGATATGTCACCATTACTATGATTATTGAAAGCTATTGTACATTATGATTTCTGTTACTCATGGTTACACTTGGCATGCCCGACTAGGTTCCCCTGTCTAACCTGTGAAGAATTTATGTATTTTATTCCTTATTTTTTTCTGAGAAATGTCTTAGTTATTATGTCAGTTATTTGTTAAATAAATTGCAGCAGTCCCAATTAAGTCTGGCCTTTCCTGGCAATACTTTCAACTTTAGGACACATATCATCCATCTTCACTGACTGCTAGCGTAAACATTAAAGAAATGGTGTCCAGTTACAATACCTAAAAAACACTGTGTCCCTTGTAAAATGCATACTGTATATTATATTCATTATATATTATATATTTAGTGCTTTTTTTATTTATTCTTTATATAAATAATATATTTTTCAATAAAAAATAATATATTGCATTTAATTAAAATATATATATATTTTTTAATATATTTTCATTCTTTAGTATATTTTATCATTTTATATTTTATATATATTTTAGTTCTTTCTCTTATATGTTTGTTTTATTATAGTTATAAAATAATTTTTTTATTGTTATTATACCAATTTTAATTTTATATATCATTAGTGCATGTTTTATGTATTTGATAATTAAATTATAATGCTTTATAAAATAAAAGAAATGCGTTTATTTTAGTTTTTCTATATATTTTAATACATTTTTATTCTTTTAGATTTTATATATATTTTAGAGCTTTCTCCTTTTTATGTTGGTAATATTTACAAATATATATTTTTGCATAATTTTTATTCTTTAGTATTTTATATATATTGTCTACTTTTGTTTTCCACTAAAGGAAAAGCCAATTTTCATGATCTTTATTAGGGCTGCTCTACATAAACAATATAATTTCCCTCCAATAATTATTAAAAAAATTAATAAAATTTAATCTTTAAGCTAACACAACATATATATATATATATATATATATATATATATATATATACACATCTGTGAGCAAGCTCTTAATAATTATTTCACTTTGTGTTTTGACTGCTTGTTGTATAAATCTTAGCCTACAATATAAGGATTTGCTTAGTGCTGAGTGTTAAGATCTCAGTAACACACAAAACTGTTGACGTATGTGCCAGGGGATGTTATCTCTCTAGGGATTTATTATATACATGAAATATCAATAAGGGCTGAAAGGTGTGAAAAACACTCTTAGAAGCTCTTCATGGCTTTTCTTTTGAGAGATTTAAAGGGAAGAAAGATGCACTTGAGAGAGAGAATGACAGAGAGAAAATCTGTGAGTCTAGTGAAATGTTTATGCAGATTTATTTATGGTGTTGGGGATTTGCTATGGTAGGCCAGAAAACTGAGACACTTCTCATCCTCCCCCACTCCGACATGCTTATTGCACAGTTAATGCTTGTTTTTGCTAGTCAGAAAGTAAACAGTCTTAACACAGTCCATCTCGTCTACTTAGAGATAATGTTGTCTGTCTCGCTGCCGTCTTATGGAGGTAGTTTTGTTCTGTACTTTCGCTACTAGATGCCAGTCCCTGCTTTCTCTGAGACATATAAACACTGTGCTTTGGAACCATTGGCTTTATGACCCCTCAGTGATTTCAGTAATTTGCGCTGAGTCATGAAATGAAGCTCTTCGAAATAAAAACACCTGCTATTTTGTTGTTTGTCACCAACAACAGATGAACTTTATCCTCTTCATTTGTATAATTCGGATACTGCGGCAGAAGATCAACTGTCCTGACATTGGGAGAAATGAATCAAACCAATATTCGTAAGTATTTGGACCCCATTCAAACAGATTTTTGCATTCAAATAAGAGTAATTCTGTAATTTGTTCTCTTTAATCTCCTCACCCTGCTGAGAGGACCAGCATGAAATTTAAAGGGATAGTTCACACAAAAATGAAAATTCTGTCATCATTTGCTCACCCTCATCTCACTCCGAACTCATTACTAATTCTCTTCTGTGCAGCACGACAGGAGATTTTACTCTTTTAAATGAGATGTTAACCTAGTGTGAGACGTCTTGAAAAATGTGAATGAGATTCGAGAACTGCAGCAAAGGAGATTACCTGTGACTATACAGTAATAGCGACTTAAATTTCTGAAAATATCTTTTCCTGACTCTAAGCTATCATATGACTTCAGAAGACTTGGAATCTAGCAAATGAGTCATATGACTACTTTTATTATAATACTTTTTTGCATTCTTTTTGAAGCTTGAAATTTACATTAATTGTAATTGAATGGAAAAGAATGGAAAGCAAGTTATTTATACATCTTTCATGGGTGAAGGAAAGTGATAATGGCTGATGTTCTTCATTTTTGGGTGAAATTTCCATTTAAATGTTGGTCCAAATTGGTTAAAGATTGAAAGTTCTGGTCTAGTCGGTAGACCAGCCTTCGGCTAATCAGCTAAACCAGCAGAAAATGAAATCTGGTTGGCCAAAGGAGTCTTGTTGGTTAAGCTGACGGGGACACCAGCATCTAAATCACAACTTCTTCTGTAGACCAACTATTCTGGTCTTTTTGGTAGGATGAGGACTGGAGGTACATGAGAAACATTTTAGCTTATGTAATTTTAACATGGGCATAAAATATGGGGATATTTTAGCAGGCCTCTCCAGCAGCGAGCGAGAACCCACTGCACTGCAATCTCATCATATAAAATGTCACTGGCTCTCTCCGCCCCTGTTCGGATGATTTAATGTCCTTTGTCCTTAAGTAGCTCTCCACTGTGCAGTTCGCACAAAACAAGACTCAATTCTTAAGCACCTGCAATTTTCTACCCAGCATCACTTATGTTGTTATTCCAGTAATATGCTTTTTGATATCACCTAGTAATGATATCATTCTCTGCCCTGCGCTGTGTGCATATGACTGAGAGTAAAGTATCCCATAAAAGCTGTTTGTCATGTTTTTTCTTCTTCTTTTCTATAGGAGGCTGGCAAAATCCACACTTTTGTTGATTCCACTCTTTGGGATAAACTTCATCATATTCGCTTTCATTCCTGAGAACATAAAAACTGAGCTAAGACTCGTGTTTGACCTGATTCTTGGGTCATTTCAGGTACGTCTGAGGATTTAATCACTCAAACTAGCTGTGAAAACAAAAAGTAGAGCCCAAATATCAATAGTCGCCAGTGACAGGAAATGCTCTCAGGCTAATCGTAGCACTGTTGTTCAGATAGCAGAATAGTTTAATGATGTCTGGTAGAACTGCTCAGGGCTCCTCAAACAGTCTCCATAGAGAATCTCTGTCTTGCACACTTTAGCTATTGGCCATTGTTTTTTTTTTAATGGCATAATTGGGTGTTTCTTCATCTGTGGCCACTTTTGCCCTGTGGATGTTTAGGAAATAAACTCTCTTATAAACACTTTTCACATTCTCACTAGTTTATTCAATTTAAGGCCATGGACATTTCCACCACTTTGCAAATGATGTATTGTGTTTAAAGGAAGTTGGTGAAAAATTACATTTTAAACATTTTTTTATTAAAATGTTTACTCATTTGTCTTGCATTTTAACCTAGCACATTTTTGTATCCTAAATACAAACAATAACAATATTTTCACTCTTTTTTTTTTTTGCATTAATAGAGCTTGATTAGAAAAGACACTTAGTTAATGTTAGTTCATGCAATAACTAGCATTAAATAACAATGGGCAATTCATTTGTTGCAGTATTTATTAATCTTTGATAATTTTAGTTAATAATGTAGTTATGTACATTAACTTTTCAAAATCTTTAGTAAAAAACAGTTGCCACAACTGTAGTCAAAGTCGTAATTTCGAATATATATTAAAACCATTTCTATACAATAACTATGTAAATTATTTTTTATTAAATTATTTATGGGGAAAAAACAATTCCCTATAATATGAATATTAACAAGCTGGGTCTGGGACGTCGTAATTTCGAATATATATTAAAACAATTTCTATACAATAACTATGTAAATTATTTATTATTAAATTAATTATGGGGGACAACAACTCCCTATAATATGAATATTAACAAGCTGGGTCTGGGAAAAGAGTAAAGCAACAAAATCTATTAAAAAAAAAAAAAGAAAAAAATGATGAAGGCATGGTAGAAAGTTTTCAATACAGTTTTAAACGTGACCTTCATGTAACAAAAGAAAAAAAAATCTGTTAGTTTTAATAAAAATAAGCCCTTGGGACAAAAAAGTGACCCAATTTTAATATCCTTGGGCAGAGCCACCAGAATGACTGGCATGAATTCAGGAAGGGTTTGTCCCCATTAGTTAAATATTCATATATCTGCTACAGGACTCGCCAACCCATATTTTTTAGGCCACAGTCATACTAGACAGTCTGGTAGGAATCTCTAGGCATTTAGCACATTGTCATTCCCACGTGTAATGCCTTCATTGTACCTACAGTGACATACAGTATCAGTAAGTTGCTTTCACTTGTTTTAACAGGGTTTTGTGGTTGCTGTGCTCTACTGTTTCCTGAATGGAGAGGTAAGACATGGAAGGATGGATAGACAGACAGAATCTTTAGGTGCACTCAGTCACAACTGATCAGAAGCCACTTCCTATATTGAAGTTTCATTCAATTTCTCTACCTAAAAGCTAAAGCCCTGGAAGCCTGTAATTGGCTTAGATTCTGCTAGCTCACACAGGCTACAAATAGCTCTAGACATACTGGCAGAGGAGGCCTATTACTTTGATATATGCATTGATGTTCACCGCATCTTGGGGCTTTTTTGCTTGTACAGATTAAATAAAAGGGTCACAAGTGCAGACTTTTTTCCAGGTGCATTCAAATAATCTGACATGTTTGGTTTGTGCACCACAAATGAACAGCTTGTACACAAACTGATTTCTATGTGTAAAATGATCCTGTTTTACCATAAAAACAACCCAGGCTCACTGGAATTAAGTGACTACATTTGTGCAAAACCTGAAATACATTTCGCTGCACTTTTCAGGTGAACACTAGAGGCAGTAAAACAACAACTTTTGTTACTTTTCACACAAATTGTAATTACAGTGGCAAATTATTGATTAATAAAGACTTATTTTCATGCAGTTCCTTACACAATACTATGTCCTTTTGTTAAAACACTTTTACAATAATGCATAATTTGTAAACTAATACATTTTGCATCACACAAGCAGCTCCATATTTATGGCTTTTCTGGCGCAGTAAACTTGCCCTACAACTCACCTGGTACATCATTGCACTTGCAATGTTTGCTTTTATTAACACTATAGGATTTAATGTAGGTGGTTCATTATTATTTTTAAATGCAATAGAGCATTAATAATTCAGACTCACTTACCAGACATTTAATTTCCAAACTGCTTTGATACGTGCATCAACCAACATAATAAGGGTGTTTTAAGGGTGTGTTTACACTTAGTAGATTTCGGCCTGAACCAAAATGTGACTGACATTTTTAACTCTTTTTAATTTTTATTTTTATTTCAAAAACTGGCATTTTTAACACCAAACCTTAAGGTACAAAACAAAAGGCACAAGGATATGGTGGAAACAGCTTGTAGGACGTATATTTTGTGAACTTACTTTACTTACATCTGAAAACCAACACCTATACCAAACTGTCACTGGCAAAATAGCTCTTATGACAAGAAGAACCAGGTATGCTTGAGCAATCTGTTGTTGAAAATGTGGGTCTCCGTCTGCTTGTTTTGCACACACCAAGGTTTGGATGGTAGCGTTCACACTTAAAGGGGACATAACACACACAGTTTCACCCAATCTCATGTCCTATAGAGTAGTACTGCATCCTTCATATCTCCAAAAAGTCTTTAGTTTTATCATATTTATAAAAGAAAGATACAGCTTTACGATTCTCTTCGGGAGTTCCACCTTTCATGACGTCATGAAGAGCCATGATCGAAAAAAACTTTCCGAAACCTATACAAACCCGGAAGGCGTGTATTTGGCACAGAAATACTGCATCGAATCTATTCAATTCTACATCAAAATCGTTTTTGGAAACTTTGGCCATGTTTAGCATGAGAATCCAACTCTTTAAAACAGCTTGTAGGACGTATATTTTGTGAACTTACTTTACTTACATCTGAAAACCAACACCTATACCAAACTGTCACTGGCAAAATAGCTCTTATGACAAGAAGAACCAGGTATGCTTGAGCAATCTGTTGTTGAAAATGTGGGTCTCCGTCTGCTTGTTTTGCACACACCAAGGTTTGGATGGTAGCGTTCACACTTAAAGGGGACATAACACACACAGTTTCACCCAATCTCATGTTAATCTTGAGTACCTATAGAGTAATATTGCATCCTTCATATCTCCAAAAAGTCTTTAGTTTTATCATATTTATAAAAGAAAGATACAGCTTTACGATTCTCTTCGGGAGTTCCACCTTTCATGACGTCATGAAGAGCCATGATCGAAAAAAACTTTCCGAAACCTATACGAACCCGGAAGGCGTGTATTTGGCACAGAAATACTGCATTGAATCTATTCAATTCTACATCAAAATCGTTTTTGGAAACTCTGGCCATGTTTAGCATGAGAATCCAACTCTTTAACAGTGTAAATAACTCAACATGCATGAAATAGCATTAGACCCTCCCTTTAAGGCCCATTCACACCAAAGAGGATAGCTATAAAAATAACAATAAAGATATAGTTTCCAAAATCAGTTCAAATTTAGTTCACAACACCACCAGAACAATAACAGCACAAAGGAATGATATCATTGGAATCACTTTCAAACTTTTTTTTTCTCCAGCTGATCATATAAAAACATTGGCAGCCAATCAGAATCCCAAAAACTGTGTACCACCAGTCACTACAGATTTCACTTTCAAAGTGCTGTGAAATGTGCTACAAGCAATGCAATATCATTTTGCAAAGAAAGCATGTTTTTTTTTTTCATGACACTGGGCTTTTTAATAAACCCTCATTTGCAATGGGGTAAAAATTAAATCACTTATAGTGCCTTATGTGGATGTGTCACCTAAAAAATTGTGTAGCGAAATACAATGCATACTTCAAGTTTTGCAGAAATGTAGCCTAGAGTCAGATATTTCCAATGAGCCAGTGTTGTGTAAAACCCAGTTGCAACCGTTTTACTTCCTTAATGCTCCTTATTTACAGAGTTACTTAAAGGCATAGTTCACCCAAAAATGAAAATTCTGTCATTAATTACTCAACCTCTTGTCGTTCCAAACTCTCAACACCCCGTTCATCTTTGGAACACAAATTTTTGATGAAATCTGAGAGCTTTTTGACCCTGCATAGACAGCAACGCAACTACCGCGTTCAAGGCCCAGAAAGGTAGTAAGGACATCAATGGTTCAACTGTAATTGTAAGAAGCTACGAAAATAATTTGTGCGCAAAGAAAACAAAAATAATGACTTTATTCAATAATTTCTTCTCTTTGTGTCAGTCTTTGACGTGCGTTCACGAGAGTACCACAACTAATGACACATGGACTATTTTAATGATGTCCTTATTAGGGTTGGGAATCGATTCCGATTCCAGAATCGGATACTTAAGGTCAGGAATTGGATACTTGTTGTCCAATTAAAATTTCGATTCCACCTATCGATTCCTATGTGCTTTTTTTTTCTTCATCTGTGAGGACCGGACCTAGCGATCTGCCAGGCCCTTGCTCGCTAATCTAAGCGCTCCAAAGTTTGCTACATTTGCGATCAGAAGCCAAAAAAGCTAAGTATAATATCTGTGATAGCTAAACATGTTGCAAGAGAGGTGTCACCACCAACATGAAAGCACTTTTAATTTACTATATCGTTAAAGATCGCGAACACGATTCAAACACCAATGTGATTCTATTCCTAAATTACAATGATTCGTCTGTTTCATTCCTCAACCTTTTTGACGTGTTCGATCAATGTTGTGATCACTTGTTGGTTCATCCGTGCAGAGTACGATCACACCAGTGTGATTTGAGCATTTAAATTTGCGTTCGTGCTGCCATTGACCTAAAGAGAGCAGCTGTCTTTCATGAATGAAACAGCTTCACAGTCTTTTCCATACAAGAGATTCTTCAAGAATGCTGATTCATCCAGTAATGAAACAAGTACATCTTGAGTGAGTCATTGAATCGTTTTATTCTTAAATTACATGTGATTTTGTTTAGTTGTCTAATGTTTTTTCTTCAGAATCAGGAGAGAACCACAACTTCCATTGGGGGAAAAAAAAGAAAAAAAGAAAACTCAATTTATCCAGAATCATGCAGTTCTATTTTGCAAACAAACATCTCTTAAGGAGTCCAGTTTTTATGTAGCCTGTTGATTTTTGTTCATGGCATTCAATATTGGAGCAATAAATGGTTTGCAAAAAAGAGACAGTATAAATGTTCGATATCATTATTTAATCACATTGGAATCGAAACTGGGAATCGAAAAGAATCGGAATCGATAAAATTCAAACGATACCCAACCCTAGTCCTTATTACCTTTCTGGGACTTGAACATGTCAGTTGCGCTGCTATCTATGCAGGGTCAGAAAGCTCTCAGAGGTCATCAAAAATATCTTAATTTGTGTTCAGAAGATGAACAAAAGTCTTACGGGTTTGGAAGGACATGAGGGTGAGGAATTAATGACATAATTTTCATTTTTGGGTGAACTAAAATTTTTAATGTACCTTGTAGAGTTTCTGTACAAAACTGTAGAGTGAGAATGTTTTATCCATCACCAGTTGATTAGAATGGATCTCGTCCTTCTCTCAGGTCCAAGCTGAGATCAAGAGGAAATGGAGGCGATGGCACCTCGAAAGGTTTCTGGGTCCTGACACCAAATATCAGCACCCATCCATGGGCAGCAACGGCAACAACTTCAGCACGCAGATCTCCATGCTGACTCGCTGCAGCCCCAAGACTCGCCGCGCATCCGCATGTCAAGACGAGACATCCATCACAGTCTAACTTAGCATCTATAATGATGTGGTATTGTCACCAGAATGAGACCGTGAGAGGACATGAAGATGTCCAGGAAGTGTTCTAGTGAAATTCAGTTCTGACCTTCAGAGAGATGAGCTACTAAACCCTACATTTGCTGAAAATAGCGCAATTTGTTTCCATAAGAGTCGTCAGTGAGGTTCTTGTATGAAAAACACAATATCGGACAGGCACAGATCATCTTCTGCAACACATAAAACCTGTAAATAAAGCCACAGTGATCTTCTGGAGAGCAGCGAAATCGTAGTGTTGCCGTCATTTTGTGCCAACTCGGCTCTGCAGGGACACAGAAGCAACAGCATCATCAAGAATGACTGATGATACGCTGCAGGAAAAAGAGGTTAGGGATTCTTTGCCTGGACTGCTCATATATTTTGCTTATGAGGTAAGTAAAAAAAAAAAAAAAAAGTGCAGCCATCAAACCAATCATGATGAATACCTCTGTCTTAACATCTGTAGACTCGGTAACAGTTGTCAACTGTTAAGGAAATTTAAAAAAAAAAAAAAAAAAAAAGAGAAACAAAAAGGCTACCAAAAGCGGATTGTTGAATATCCAATATATGGAGATACACTGTAGAGACCAAATGTGATGTTTTTTTTAATGATGTTTTCAGATCAGTGTGTGTGTGTGTATTTAGGCACGTTTGGAAGCCGAATGCCCTTCTCTGCACTATCATTCCAGATAAGTCATCCCAGCGGTGTGTCAACAGTTTGCATGCTTGTTTGAGTGTCATTGTGCCTTGACGGTTTTATGGTCTAATGTCAAATCCTTTTGTGCGAAGAACAAACTATCAATTGTGAGATCAACGATGACAAAGACGGCGCTGTTGGAGCTTGATATAACTGTCATAGGCTTTGACAATGCTTATTATTTATCTTAAAGAATAATACACATCGACCAATTTATACTTAACAATGGAAGTGGTACTTATGTGTATTGTAAGTCTTTGCAGTAATGCTAATGCTGTAAACTTAGCATTTCCTTTGTACTGTGACATTTTTTTTTTACATCCTTTAGTTTCAGTGGTAACTTGCAGTGCTTGTTCAACTACTGTAGAAGGATATTTGTGTTTACGTACAAGCTAAAGGGAAACGAAAAAGCAGGCCGCCCTGTCACACCAATGTTCTTGTCTCACAGTTTTACTCATTGAGATGGACTTGCAGCCAGATCAAGGCCTGTGAAGTCCCGGAAAGCGACTCGAACTGGGTCAGCGCCACATAAAGGTAGTTCAGTCTGGATTGTGGTTTCTGTTTCCAGTGGAGTGTAAAATAATTATGTACAGTCATATCTGATAGAACATATAAAGGGAATGTACAGCAAATTCATTTTAATGCTACAGCTTGCAAAGCTTATAGTAATATATTTAATAAAAAATTAAAGCCTCAAATCACTGCCCAATATTGTCCGATGGCATACAGTATTTTTTTATTTTAAATGTGTGATTAGCCAGATTACCTCTAATCTACCGTGATAAAGAATGTATATTCTTATAAAAATGTTAATTCAAATGTTTCAATATCATTTTAAGTTAGCTAGCAGTGTACTTTGTGAACTTTATATAAATGCATATAGGAAAAGGTGCCTATTTTAATGAGTTGCGCTGTATAGACTATGTCTGGTTTTGAAACGACGTGCTGTTTTGTTGTATATTAATGTGGGTGAAACATCATTTATAAGTGCACAGCAGAAGATCTGGATGTTGTATATATTAACTGTGTATCTGTGCCGTGAAAGTGAGTAATATTTGTCCATACCGCATGCTACACAGGCAACATACGGTACATTTTTTAAGTAATAAATTCACAAAAAGCATGACCCAGATTCTTTACAGTCATGTGTACACGTGAATATTTTTGTATCTACATTTAAACAAGCTTGATACATGGTATGTATTTTTGTAACATTTGGGACCATTTTCCATTGTTGTTTGAATGTTCACGATCAACGATTTTAAATAAACAACTTGAGCTGTACGTTTACATTGTTCAGAAATTACACACATATGAACTGCTTGTCCATTGGGTTACAACAGACACTCTCATATCAAATCCTTTCTATTTTCCATCTGCCTTAAAGAAAACCAAGAATAAGCTGTGTGACACAGACTCACAGTCCTGTTTCCCCAGAGAGATTTAGCTAAATAATTTATTTGCTGTGTAAATTTCACTCTACTAAAATACACAGCTTCCCCTCTGAGCCTGTCAAATCCCAGACTTACTTTGAAGAACCGTTCTGCTTTTGCCTTCTGGTAAGCGCTGAATGAAATTAAGGGCATAGCAGCAAATGCTAACAACAAAACACATTTTTCTACTTTTAGAGGCTTTGGTATAATTGTCTAGATAATTTTAGCAATCCATTGTGCCAGCTCAGCGTCGATCCTGCAGGAAACAGGATGTTTTCCTTATCTACCCGGGGTTATCTATTGTTTCTTCTGTTCAGCAAAATATGAGGAATTAACCAATATAAACAAGTAAATGTGGGGTGGCTACATTATGACATATGTGTACATCAGCGGGAAAGAACCATTTCCAGTCACTCATCAGACACCGGCTGCGAACATTTTGATTAGCCAAAGTAAAACACTCATATTTGTGTCAGCAATGGTGAGAGATTCATTTTCTCTGTGTAGTTTCATCTCATTGTCAGCTGGTCCTGTTTGCCACATGATCGTGCATCTAACATCTCTCTTAAAGGTTTCTGCTTCAGTTTAGGCATAAGACAACACCTCACCCTGAGCCCATGCAAGATGTAGATGAGTTTGTTTCTTAATCTGAACAGATTTGGGTTGGCAGTGAATAGGTGGCATCAGAATGAGAGTCCAAACGGCTGATAAAAACATCACAGTAATCCACATGACTCCAGTCAACCAATTAACGTCTTGTGACTTATCTACATAAACTTATTTATAGCTTCAATGGCCTGAGGGTGAATACATTTTCAGTCATTGTTTTTCTGTAAACTATTCCTGTAAGATTGAAATGCAATGATGTGAAAATAGCAGTAAATATGTTGTTAAGGGAATGTATGTTTTACTCATTCATTTTGAACTTTATTAAAATAAGCCTCAAACCTGGCACCATACTTCATTGAATTCAAGTGTAAAGTGTGTGCCTGTATTTTAATTTCTAATGTGTTTTTCTGTTCTATCACAGCAGTTTAGTCTTGTTATCTGTGTTTTTGTTTTGAAGGGTTCACCGCTTCAGTCAGGGATCATCCATCTACTAAGGTCAGATTGTACTGATAACAAAATACATGAAATATAAAGCTGTCAGATTGCTCAAGAGACCAAATATATTTCATCTGCCACAGCCTCCCTTCAGCCTGATACTATATGAGTTTCTCAGATATAAACCTTATATCTGAGTGGTAACCTGCAATTGAGCGATTTCTATCTGATTGAACCAATAAATTTTGTTCATGTAACCTAAAGGATTCAGTGATGTTAATATTTTTAATAGAATATTTTTTCAGATTAACATTTTTTTTCTGTATATGTAGATTTGTTGCAGCTAACATGCCACAGCCTCCCTTCAGCCTGATACTATATGAGTTTCTCAGATATAAACCTTATATCTGAGTGGTAACCTGCAATTGAGCGATTTCTATCTGATTGAACCAATAAATGTTGTTCATGTAACCTAAAGGATCCAGTGATGTTAATATTTTTAATAGAATATTTTTTCAGATTAACATTTTTTTTCTGTGTATGTAGATTTGTTGCAGCTAACATGAATAATTAATTTAACATGCAAAAAAGCTTATGAATAATGCTAATAACAAATACCATATTCTACATGCCAACGAGTCCAGCTTAAATCGAAAATTTGTTAATAAAAGTGTTTTATATTAAAATAGAAAGGATTTCGTCATTCCTTTGGATGTTGTTTTTGCTGCTTTCCACATCAGGACTGTTAACAGGTGCCTAGCCACAGGCCACATGTCAGTATGCATGTCCATTGTTAAATATTCATGGGCTAAAGTACCCATCAAGTTTCAGCAAAAGCATTGTTCAACAAGTTTCAAAGCTTTGAGCTGGACCAAACCTGCTTTAAGAATAGCTAGCAAATCTGTGCCATTGTATTGCTGGCTCAACCTGATATTGAAAGAAATGGCCCCTACTGGGTGCTGCCCTCTATGTGAAATCTAGTGGCTTCCATTCAGCAAAGCATGACATGGTATAAGAAAGAACTTGATCTGGTAATTTGCTATCCTTAGTTTCAGTTTTGAGCCAGTGATTTAACCCTCCCAGGCGTGATTGAGAACCACGACTGGAGCTCGACCTGTCAGACAGTATCCAATCAGAGAAAGCTTGACTTGCCTCAGGCTCCACTGGTGTTGATAAGATGCAGTCCCACACACACACACACACACACACACACACAGGGCCGTTTCTAGCCAATTTGACGCCCTAGGCGAAATCCCTATTCCCCTCCCCCCTATAATATATATAATTCTTTTCAGACACCAGTTGCTTGTCACATTCAAATTGGAACTTGTAATCCTTCAAAAATGTGTAAGTGTTCAATAATTCAATGTTGTATATAAAAAGTTATTTATATTTTAACTTTATATTATGCATTTATATTATTTTACGAACAAATCTAAATTAACATATAAAAAATTTTTTTTACTGAGATTTGATGTGACAATTTTTGCATTGTGATTACGTAATGACGTCATCACGCAATGACATCACAACTTCATTTAGCAATTTTTAGCAACAAATCGACCTTCCTTTAGCAACTTCCCCTGAAAATTAGTTGGCAACAGTGCCTGCACACACACACACACACACACACACACGTGAAACGGCACACAGTGATCCCTGGGCTCCTTATTACGACAAACCGGCATCTTAAACTTTATGGGAAAATCAAAGAACGCGTTTTTAGCGCTGCACGGCGATTTTTTTTTTATCGTAAACATACGCTAGACGGACGTCTTGTGACTGTTTTGCTGATCAGCGTCTTAAGACTTTTTAAGTACACTATATTGTAGCCTATTTTTAAAAACGCTTTCATTCCACTTCGTTAAGTCTAGCATTTTAAAGGCAAGTATGCATTCTGTGTGAACGAACGCCTTGCTTTCTGCTGCGATCTACTTTTTGTTTTTATATAAAAATGCCTCTTGCAGTCGCTCCGCGTTTTGATGCTTTATCAGCGCCTTGCGCATGCGCAATAGGTTGAACGCTGAATCTCTAGTTTTAACCATAGACTGTATAAAAACAGGTTTTAACAAGTGTGAACGAACATGTTCTTGCTTTCTGCTGCCTTTTACTTAGATCATTTTTTGGAATATTTTAAAAAAGGTAAATATATTTACAGTGTTGCACACACTACATTTGTTTATCATTTCGTAACAGTTAATAATGTTTTATTTGTTTACAGTGCACGTTTTGTGCAGTCGT